CTTCTCCCTCTCATAACTGCCATAATCCACTCCTCCCTCTCTACCGGTATTGTTCCCTCACTTTTCAAAACTGCATCTATTACCCCAATATTTAAAAAAAACAAACGGCACTGATCCCAATAATTTTAATAATCATCTTCCCATCTCAAATCTTCCCTTTCTTTCAAAAATCCTGGAAAAAATAATCTCTGTTCAACTCCATGCTCATCTCACGCTCAATAGCCTCTATGAGCCCTTCCAGTCTGGTTTTCGCCCTGGCTACAGTACAGAAACTGCACTCATAAAAATCCCTAACGACCTCCTCACTGCTGCTAATGCTAGACTGCTCTCCATCCTCATCCTCCTCGACTTGAGTTCGGCCTTCGATACCATCTCTCACACCATCCTCCTCCATAGATTGTCTTCCCTTGGCATTTCTCATACCCCGCTTGGATTGGTTCCGTTCATATCTCTGGCCGTACTCAGTTTATTTAACTCAAATCCTTCACTTCCCGTCCCTTTCCTGTCACTACCGGCATCCCCCAAGGCTCTGTTCTCGGTCCACTTCTTTTCATCACTTACCTTCTTCCCCTGGGAAATATTTTCTGTAAATTTGACATCCATTTTCATTGTTACGCGGATGACACCCAGCACTATGTATCGTCCAAACCCTCTTCTTCACTCCCTCCTTCCTCCCTCACCAATTGTTTATCTGAAATCAAAGACTGGTTCACATCACACTTTCTCAAACTTAACAGTGATAAAACAGGAATGTTACTTGTCGGCACTAAATCATTACTATCCAAAATCCACAGCTTTACACTTCCGTCGACAACTCCTTAGTTTCCCCCTCCCCTCAGGTCAAGAGTCTGGGTGTCATCCTCGACTCCTCACTATCCTTCCAGTCCCACATAAACAATGTTACCCGGTCTGCCTACTTCCATCTACGTAACATTAAACGCCTTCGCCCCTCCCTCACTACTCACTTGGTCGCCATCCTTTTCCACCGCCTCATCACTTCCCGTATTGACTGCTGCAACTCTCTTCTCTTCGGTCTTCCTCACAAATCCCTCCATAAACTCCAACTTCTCCAGAACTCGGCAGCCCGCATCATTACCAGAACTCCCTCCTTCCACCACGTCACCCCTGTTCTTCAGCAGCTCCACTGGCTCCCAGTCACTTCGAGAATCCAATCAAAATTCTGCTATTTACATTCAAAGCCATCCATAACTTGCTCCCCTGTACCTCTCAGACCTCCTTCATCCTTTAACCTCCACCCGTTTCCTCAGGTCCTCCTCCTCCATCCACCTCTCTGTCCCACCTCTCCGTCTGGTCACTATGGGGAGCAGGGCCTTAAGTCGCTCTGCTCCCCCAGCTCTGGAACTCACTCCCTACTGACCTCCGTAACATTGATTCCCTCACTCTCTTTAAAACTAGACTCAAAACCCACCTGTTCTGTCTTAGAATTCCAATACTTACTCTCTTTGCTCCAATCTGTCTGTTTGTTTTATGCTGTTCTATCTTTTAGTGTTGTGTATTTTATCTCTGTCTGTAAAGTGTCCTTGAGTGTTTAGAAAGGTGCTGTTGAAATAAAATGTATTATTATTATTATTATTATTATTATTATTATGCGTGCGTGTGTGTGTGGTGCATCGTTTGTCCAGTAACAGATTTTTGATGTAACTCCAGGGTTTTCAGGCATCTTATCAAACTGTAGGAACATTTTAGTGAATCTAAATGAATGATGATATTGTGTAAACACCAAATGTTTAAAATTGGGTAATATTTTTGACCAAATTATGTTCATAAATGAGAAGATTTGTAGTGAAAATGGTACAAATGCATCTAAAGGTTAAAATCACAAGACCTGCAGACATTACTTGGTTTGGAAAATAAAACACATGTGGAATTCATGATTCAATTCAAAACATTTGTCAGTGCTGCTGTGAATTCATCCATATTTAAAGGATCCGGGCCTCCTCTTGTGCCACATTGAGAGTTACTGTCTCAGTTAGACCTGCAATCTCTTGAATACCAACTATATTTATCTATTTTCATTTTTCTCTGTAAAGGAGAATAAACTTGTTTCAGAAAGCCTTCCATCTATTAAAAGGTCATTAAGGAAGTGTTAGAAAATACGAAGTCTATTTAATTAAGTTTTATTTATGTATTGTTTTTCATTTAGCTTGCCTGAGACGGCTTTTGTAGCAAGCCCCCTGATTTTATGTTAAGAAGTTTTAAATAATATGCCGTTGAAAGGTTTACTGGTCTTATGGAGGGGGATTGTAACACCATCTCTTACATTGTCCTCACAGCAATGAACAGAATGGATTCTGTTGTAATTACAGGTGTATTTTCTTTGTCAATCTCCTAAGTGGAATATGAATGTGAATGGCTACTGGTAGTGGTGTGTGCATGTGTGTCTGTGTGTGTGCGTGTGTGTGTGAGGGGGGTGTCTTTTGTGTAGCCAGAGCACAAAAAGAAGCTGCAACCAATGCTCCCACATCTTTAAGCCTTTTGTTGTTTACAGCAGCCACTCATGCAAGAGGTGATCAAGTTTCCAATATCACGGCACACGGGGAAATCAATCCTTCTCTTTTACAGCACATCCCCACCTCTTTAAAGAAGGCTGCAGGTGGGATGAGGTCCAAAACTGTGGCCAACCATCTTATTAACACAAAAACGAAGAAGGGGGAGGGCAGGGAGTCATGACTTCTCACACAGCTCGGTGGAGGGAGGTGATCTCACAGCTGAAGAACAGATGGGGGCAGGGGTAATGTGAGAGAATGCAGAGGGTCCACAGCTTCAGCTCCAGCTGTCCCAGGGTTTATTGATCCGTATGACAGGCCTGACAGGAGGGGATGGAGGGGGGAACACCAACATCTGGACTCCATTAGAACATGTCTGCTATTATAAGCCAGCAAGAAGTTAACGTAGTTTTTAGGTAATTAATAAACTTTACATCACACGTTTGTAATAAATCCCACTGAGACGTGATGTGTCTTTCACCAGAGATCTTCAGACAGTTATAAAAATACCAAATTTAATTTATTGTCTGAAGCTCAACTCTGATATGACTCACGTTTACTTCCTTAAACTGGTGCACCAGAGCTTTGTTTCCCAGAGTATGACTTACAAGGCATTTATTCCTACTAGAGATCACTACAAATGTATGGATTAAGTCAGTGATATACACCTTTGAAGTTGAACTTAAAAAGACTTGAGAAGCGAGAAGCAATTCATGTGTAACAAAACATCTATAACCATGCATAATAAATCAATTAAAATTATTGGATGATGACAAAAAAATCTACTCACAAGAGCAAAGCAGGCCGACAATAGAATGCTGAGACAACAGTTGGGATCTGAGGGTACATGGAACAAATGAATGACTCCAGGATGTGATTCCAACAACAGGGACAGGTGAGCTCATGGTAAAGTGGTGTGCATGATCAGTGATGGGGTGGTGAGGGAAAAGAATAAAATTCAACCAAAGAGACACAGATCATGACTGTTTGTCAGCTTCATGTGTTATAAAACCAGCAATAAACTCTTATATCCACTCTGTTTGCACACGTGTTCAGTACTGCAGGTGCCATAATAAGCTGATTAAGATCTGAGCCTCACCCAGTTAAATTTAGGTCATTTCTTCCAACAATGAGCAAAAAGCTGCCAGTTTTACTGATAATATTTGACTGTTTATAATCAGAATGTCTTAGACCGTTAGACATTTGATAGTTATCTCTAAACGTTTGAGCAAAAGTTTAATTTAGTTGTAAGGCACTGCACTTTTTGTTTACATTTTTGAAGAAATTATATGGTTGGCTTCATTTCAGAATATTACTGTCGAGTTATTGAATCTGGCAATGACTGTCTGACTTGTAAAGTTTTAACCTTAAGCATTAGAAAAGTAGTCACGTGGAGAACGAAAGAAGCATCAGATCTACAAAATGCTATTTGAAAGGCAGAAAGTATCTCCATAGGGGAAGCAGACTTTACAAAGGATTAAAAATTAACCTGTATGAAGTTTTCTTTTACCTCAGTGATAATGAATGACCTGCTCTTGTAGCGTCTTTCGGAGTCAGACAACTCCAAAGCGCTTTAGCAGTGGTTCCCAATCCTGATCCAGGAGGGTTGTGTCCAGCATGTTTTAATTTTAACCTGTTTCAACACCTGATCAGCAGGTGATTAACAGGTTTCTGCAGTCTGCTGAGCAGGTGATTCAACCACTGAATCAAGTGCATTGGAGCACAGGAACAACTAAAATGGTCCCTCCAGGACCAGCACTGAGAACCACTGCACTATATCTTTCACCCATTCACATGCTGATGATGAGCTACATTGAAACCACAGCTGCCCTGGGGCACACTGACAAAAGGCAAGACTGCACAACCGCTGCCAGTCCAGCAGCAGGCACGGAGGGTTAAGTGTCTTGTCTAAGGACACAACAGCAGAATTATCTTCCGGGAGCTGGGATCGATACTGCAACTGCGTAGCCTGGCAAGCCAGACTAAATAAATATGGTCTAGCTCACTAGGCTAGCAGTCTTACAATTAGTGGACAGCCTGGCCTTCCTCTTGACCTACTGCTGCCAAATTACTTTGATAGTTTCCTAGCAAGCAAATAAATAAATAATAATAATAATAATAATAATAATAATAATAATAATAATAATAATAATAATAATAATAATAATAATAATAATAATAATACACCATTAACAGAAAAGGCAAGACTTCTGCAAAGGTCTGCCTTTGCACCAGGTTGCTTGTATAATTAACTAATTAATTAATCGTGGATTTATTAACTGGTTAGTTTATTTTATTTGTTTAGCATGTATAGTGGAGTATCATCGGTGATACAGCCGGGCTGTCAACATACAGTAAATCTGAGCGCGTGAGCAATGTGGCACCGTGAACGCAGTCTCGTGCTCATGGGAATTTCCCGTCCACGTGTCTGAAAATACTGAGGAGGGAGTTCCGAACGTAAACCTTGTATTTTTTTTTTTTTTGCGCCCCGCCCAGCTGGCTGAGCAAAACGCGCTCGTCTAAGTTCCTCCACACAGAATGAACTCAGGCTCGGAGGTGGAAGGGACTAAACTCACTTGACCCGGCGGGGTTTTGAGCTCGCTTTCTTTAAATTCTCTCTGCGTGTTGGACAACGACGGCAACATCTTTGTGGTAAGTGACAGAAAACTCCTTCTCACGCGCTCTGCGTAAACGTCATCAGCTGAGGGAGAAGAAACAAACAAACAAACAAACAAAGCGCCGCCAATGTTGTCGAAAAGAAACGCAACGGCATTTGGTTTGGAGTCATCCCGTTTATCCCGAAACCTCAGAGGAGTTGAGAGAGAGCTGTTTGTCATGTTGACTCAGTTTGTCATTCACCCGGCAGAGATTAGAAATATACCGGCTTTACCGGCTTACGCGGATCCGCCGGTCATGTGTCAGTCTGGTGAACCGTTTATGAGACAATAAGGCGTATTTACGCAGTTTCTACCTTTAAACGCATTAAAGTTGGATTTTACTTTATTTTGCTACAATTTGGTTTGACTATTACTATTTTTCTCGAAAGAAATGTTTTTCTCCTACAATGAAATGTTAATATTTAAAAAGAGAAAAGTGAACAAACTTCGTTTTTCTGGGTCTGCTGATGTTTACAAGTGTGCATTGTTACACAAAGTTGGAGTGGGGGGTGACCTGAGGTTGTGTTGAACTGTGTCCACAACAGAGCTGCACCAGCTGAGTCTGCAGCAGGGGGAGCCACTGTCTGACACACGCTGCCTGGTCATCTGTGTGTGCATTTAACTTTTTCTGTTGTTCTTGTTCTTATGCTGTGATTTTCAAAACAAACAATTAAACTGGAATTTTACTCTTGGAGTACAGTTTGCTTATGGTTGGAGGGAGAATTGCAAACTCAGGTCAGAGAGAGAGAGAGAGAGAGAGAGAGAGAGAGAGAGAGAGAGTGGCCCTGGATTTTCCTGCAGGACTGTCATTATTCTTTTTGCCATGGACCCTAATTTAGTTGTGCGGTAGTGGTTTATAACCCTGCATTACAACTTGGTGGTGTATTGTGGTTTAGCTGCAGATGCAGCTAGAAGTTTAGATGTATTTTGATAACTCTTTGACTCACTTTTTCAAGGTTGGCTGCAGTGTGCTGTTACCTTTGGAGGGGTTGCCAAATGTCCTTTTGGGATACATAAATATATTGTTTTGCCACGCTGTGGTACGATTGGGTTTATTAATAGCTTTTGAACATCTAAATGCTAATATTTGGTTTTAAATGTCCTTATAATTTCTAATTAGTGGATAATTAATAGAGATTATCAAAACAGGAAAGAATCATCCACTGTAGTTCAAACTTCCTTTTATGTAATTGCGCCTGAGCTGACTCGCATAACCACAGAAAATTGTGTGGTGACATCACTGAGTTCAGCAGAGTCTCTTGTTTACATTACCGCTGAAGTACTCACCACCAAATGAAGACAGAACCTTTGTCTTTGTTCTCTTAAACTCATCCATTGTGGTTTTATTGATTTTTGAACACGGATATGTCTGAGATCACCTCAGCAGCTGTGATGTGACTTCGTAGGAAATCTGGGTTCTTTTTTATTAAATTTCTATTCTTATATTTTCAACTTTTTATTCTGATTTCTAAGGCCGCTCACCCTACAGTGACCCCCGTATGGACGATGAGGAGGATGATGTGTTTGAGCCAGTCTCCAGCTGCTGGCGCAAAACCTTCAGGGAGATAAAGTGTGAAGACCGGGGCACACAGACACCCGGTCCTGCCCTGCTACCACACAGCGGCATGCTGCCCTGTGGAGTCGCGGAGGAGCCCAGACCACTATTCTACGGTGAGACTGTCTGCAATCTGTTTTTCAAGAGAAAAGGGGAACATTGCCTCGTGTGTGAGAGCTGGTGTTTTTAAAAGCAAAGTAAAAAAAACCATAAAATGAGAGTTGCGATGACACGTGTGTAACAGTGTTGCTGCACTGATCTCACCTCCTGGTGCCTGATAGTCTTTGCTCTAAGTTTTTATGGCCCGAATGTCGTGTATCCATCTGCTTTGCTATTCAAAAGGCGCCAGACTGGCAGTGACATGACGGCAGTGTTCACAGAGGTCTGGTTATCAGTGACAGTGAAGTTATACTGGTGTCATATACCAGTAATAATTCCAAAGTAGCCTTGACATGACCCCGTCTGAGCCGGGTAGGTTTGTTTTAGCCTTAGCAGATCATAAAACGTTTATATGTAATTAAACAACGACGATGTTCAGGAGCAGTTTCGAGAATAAAATCAGGCCTCTCAAGTGTTATTCTTAGACAGTTTTACTGATGTTTACAAGATAATAAGTTTCAGCTTCAACACTCAACAGGCAACGCAGGTTTTCGATTGCACTTCCCTGCACGCTTTGAGATTGTTGGGGATTTTGAAGCAAGACAACAAGACAGGGAAGAGGAGCCAAACAGGATGGAGCGGCCGCCCGCCGCACGCAGCCTGGAGGTTTGCATCGGACAGA